TAGCACCTCTAGTAATATATTTACTGAGAAAAATGGTGACGTGTTCAATACTTATTTTACCTGCTGTATACTCCAAAGTCTACTCACTGAGCAAAATCTTAACTTAAAACTTTAGCAATAACTGCCGGAGTTTACCCCATATCCTTCTGTTAGCAAAATATCTCTTAAACTGCAAATTTAAATGAAATGTTCAGAAAATAGATCATTGAATCTTCTTTTGATTTTACTGATTTGGAATCAATCCAGTTCAAGATGGCCACCAAAGCTACATATAATTAACCACCAAGAATGGCAACAAATCAGGTAATTTGACAGATATTGAGGTAAAGTTTGATGTGGTGGTAGTTGGACTATAAGTCTTTATTTCAAGTAGTCTCACCAAGTGCRTGTTTTATTCCACTATCAGATTATTTCAATGAATTTGAGAAGATAATCTAGTAATTTTAATTTATTTTTAGGTGGGTATTTTTGCAGTACAGGCTTTTAGTTTTGTTTTTGCTTTATTGTTTGTGTCTTAATCAAGGTCACAGAGTACAATGTTTGCCTCTTCACTCACTAGCCAAGCCTCATTTATGGACTTAGACTGACTTTGCTTTAAAGACTGGACAGCAGAGTAGCACCGTTTCCTTATCTTTATCTGCCTATAATGAGTTTATTAGTTTACGTCACTGATGAACTGTTGTATTGTTGAATTTCTTCTAAGCAGATCTGAATGTAAACGTTTACTTTTACTGAAAAAAAAACTGAGCTGTGGGAGGAAAATGTGCTTTAAAYTAAAGCTGCAAACATGAGGTGTGAGGCTTCAGATTTTCTCTGAGGCATCAGTGAAATTCCATGACATCAGGAAAGTCCGACCCTCTGCGTATATAACAGGCAGTGTGTGCGTGTGTGTGTGTGTGAGTGTGTGCGTGCGTGTATGTGTACGTATGTGCGTGTGTGTGTATATGTGGCAAATTACAGGGGAGAAAGTAAAGCTGCAGCACGGTTGAAGAAAACATGGAGAAACAGATGAACGGTGAGTGGGAGACTTTATCAGTGACTTTTTATGGTTCGTCTGTTCAGTTTCTGCACTTTGTGCTGTTTTAACCATCCATATGTCTCAATGTGCAGCTTGTGCWGAAGGAGGTATGGAACTGCTTTAGAGAAAATGCATTTCTCTAAAGAACACACTGAGGTCTCTTCAAGTCCTGAAAGAGTTTTTTTTCCTTTGAAATCTGATACTTTGTCTGTTTTTGGCTTCTTATTGTTGTTTTTATCCCCCATTTTAAAACTTTTAGTTTCTAGCTAACTTTTTGTTACTGTAGACTTTTAACTACTTTTAGCATTTAGCCAGACATTTAGCATTTTAGCTACTTTTGGCATTCAGCCAGACTTTTCATACATTRAGCTTTTAGCTTGCCTTTTGCTGATTTTAGCTTATAWCTATTATTCATTTAGCCAGTAAGTACTTTAGATGTAGCTATTATGTTTTAGATATTTTTTAGCTATTACTGTTAACTAGCATTTTGCTACTTTTGGCTTCTGCATATGGTTTTGCTACAATTATTATATCACTAATGTTTTTAGCTTCCTTTCAGCATTTTGCTTTTTAARACTTTTTGCTAGCCTTTGGAACCTTTGTTCTTTTGCTACTATCACCTACTTTTTGTTATTTTTAGCAAACCTTTGCTGCTTTTATCTAACCTTTTGCTGCATTTGCAATTTAGTTTGCCTTTTGCTTATTTTGAGTTTACATCTATAACTTTAGTTAGACAATTGYTACTTTAGGTTTTTACTATTATTTTGCTACATTTAGCTTTTAGCTATTTACCTTTAGCTTACTCATGGTGAATGGACTGAACTTATATCTTATATAGCGCTTTATCAAACCCCATAGAGACCCTAGCTAGTCTTTTAATACTTTTTGCTGGCAACCTGCTACTTTAACTTTTGGTTGGTCTTTTACTTTTAACTATAGCTTTCTATCATATTGAATTTATTTGTTGATAGTCTGTTTACTCTTTTTTTATTTTAGGCAATGTTTTCCTAATTTTAGCTAGTCTTTGCTACTTTTAGCTATGTGGTTTTAATTTGCATTAGGCTTGCCTTTTTTCCCTTTAAAACTTTTGTATTCCGTTTTGCTATTAGTTTTTAACTATAGCCTTTTATTCCACTTTAATTTTTAATCTATTGTTTTTCTACATTTAGCTTTCAATGAGGCTTTTGCTTTTAACTTTTAGACAATGTTTGTTGCATTTACATAGCATTTAGCAACTTTATTCTTTTAGCTGTTTTTTTGATCTTTTTAGATTTTTAGCTTTAGCATGTTGTTGCAACCATTTATCACTCAGAAAATTCATTGCTAGCCTATACTTTTTTTAGGTTGTGAAATTTGCATTAGATTTAAGTTTTACTTTCTTGCGCAGTTAGATCCCATTTCAGTAAGCAATAATAAAATAAATGTGTAGATCACCCTTAAATACATCCCAGAATTTTAGATTAAAATCATCWTATGTGGAAAGAACGGCCAACATATAGCTATATGTTGTAAATTGCAGTAAGTTATAGGCATTTCTGAGTTGGCTAATATCAGTCAGCTGTGGTGACAATTTTAATTTGTGTTGACTGTAAAACTATCTGATTTAGATGTGTAGTGAGTTAGTGAGTTTCATTAAAATCTGTTCAGCAGTTCACAAGATATTTTACTAACAGATGGGTTGATTAAAAGCTGCTGAACAGATTGACAGAATTTAACCCAATTAATTAATGGTAAAATTTTAAACATTGTTCTTCATCTGTTATCACTTAAAAGGTACTGAGTTAAAAAAAAACATCAAATGTACTGTATAAGTAGGGTTTAATCAACAGGGATAGCTGCTGACCTGATTGCATCAGAGCACCTAAATGAGTAGGACTGTATTTTAACTTAAAGCACACCAGAGTTTAAACAGTAAATATAACTCCTATTACGTAAGGAGTGTGTGTTTGTTTGCATGCTGTATCTATATCAAACAGCTTAGATAAATTTCTGAAACTGGTGCAGCAGTATGCACCTGCATGACCTACAGTATTGTGTACACTCATTTCAAAGACTGAACTCCAGAGAAGTGTCCAGGTCAAAGGTCAGGTTAGGATCTCAAACTGAAACCATACAAGGCTGCAGATCACAAATGCAGGATTTAAAAGGGATCTCAGCTAAAAGTTAATGCCTAGAGTTCCTTGAAGGAATACACATTGCCTTTTAGGAGGTTTAAACAGAAATCATCTTCTGTGGAAAAAGACATTTTGATCAAACCTTAAAAATAACATTGTGATAATGTAACATCTTACATAACAAGTTGTGAATGATATGTTACTAAAACAACATCAAATATCTGTAACACATTTTTTTATTTATTCAAAGTGAATTTTCAATAAAATCTGTAAAGTGGTTGATGAGATTAGTTTGCTATTTGGTAAATAGGGTTGACTTAAACAAGTAATCCTAAAGATTTAGGCTAAAATCTCCCCCAACGAATGGAATTGGAATATCGTTTGTAAGAAAAATGTTCAAATTAAAAGCCTAAATAAACCAATTAAMTTCTCAGTTAAATATTTATTTTCAGATCTAAAGACTCCCATTCACATCGAGCGTGAGTGTGGCTCTAGAAGTCTAAAACAAAACATCAATGGTAGTTTAGGATGGAATCTGACAAAAGTTTGGCACATATCTATAAAATCGATTGAAATATTGCGGATTCTGGGTTTTGTGGTTTTCTGCAGCAGCCATCTTGAAAAATGAGTTGACTCTAACAATCAGTTGTTGGTCAAATGATTTTTTTTCTAAACCATTTATTAAAATACATAGTCGTTTATGAGATATTTTTAACAGTTTATTGTTAACATAGTCCAACACTTTATTGAATAGAAATCTTTAAAAACAACAAACAGTATCTTCTCCACCTTTGGTCAGTACAAGCTACACCTGATAAAACCAAACTGACCACCATGGGAAAGACCTTTGACTACAACTTCAAATGTGACTGGTTGATCAAATCATCTAAAGTCARACTCTCATTTCTCCCAATGGTTCGACTTCAATAAGGATACAAAATACGCTGAGTAGAGGAAGTTCTGCAACAAGACTTGTTCTGGGTTAGCTGCCTTACAACAATGTTCAGACTCCACTTGACCACCGATTTATTAGAAGATGATTAGAAGATGTAACCCCTGTTACCCATCCACTACAAGAAACATTCCCGTTGGTCCCTGGAAGCTCTGCCTGGTTGAAGCGGTCATCTTTGTTGAATTACTCACAATAACCTAGATCTTTAGTGAGTAGACTGAACATTTTGAAATAATTCCTATTGGTTATTTTTCCCTCAATGATCCCAACAAAGAATCAACGCAGTGCAAAATGCTGGGACAAAAACATGGAAACAAATTTGAATTTTATTGATCCAGATAAGTAAGACATGAACAATTTTCACCTCATTCACAAAGAAAACTGGTTGAATTGAAATCCTTTTCTCTTTTTATAATTTTGGGTTCACTGAGCTCTGGCAGTTCACCACTGGTGTCTAAATATGTTTTGAGCCCATCATTGTGCCCCTTTAGCAAACCAAAACTTTTCAGATGAACTAGTTGGAGTAGTTTGTACAGAACCATGAGACAGAACCAGTGTCATTTTGTTTTATTTATAGATACTTGTTTTTATAAGAATAAACAAAAGAGATGATGTCTTTTCCTTGGTTTGTGTTCAGGTGTGATTTCCTGTCAACATCAGATTAATGTCTCAGAGCTGATGCACCAAGAAAAAGGTTCTGTAGCTGTCAGCGACAGTGTTTACCTGAATGGGTCCTCTGAGGAGACGCATGCAACAGAGAGCTTCATCCACCAAGCCATGGAAATTATTGATGAAGGAGTGAAAAAGGCCACAAACGTAAAAGAGAAGGTAGTAATGGTTCCATTCTGCTCTTTTTTATACTGACGTAATTATCTTTTGCCACAATAGAAAACGATTTTAGGTGAACTTTGACAGTAAGACGCGTGCCCCTGCTTCACCAGGTTTGTGAGTGGCGCTCCCCCGAACAGTTGAAGGAGCTGCTGGACCTTGAGCTGAAAGACGAAGGAGAGCCTGAGTCTAAGATCCTGCAACGCTGCAAAGATGCCATCACATACAGCGTCAAAACCAGTTAGTCTTATCGTTCTAAACAAAGTTATGCGTCATGTCTTGTATTTGGTGAGATAATCATAGGCAATCTGCTACTTACTGGGTAGTCACTGGGTACTTGGTACATAAATGGAACTTACTTTGTATGTATTGGTCATATCACTTCATAATACAGCCTGATCCCTGGAYGAACCCTGTGAGTATCTGCTACTGGAATCAAAAGCCAGATACTATATATCTGGTACTAACAATGTACCTACAGGAACTGGGTTATACTGTGAAGTGATACGACAATAGTACCAGCTATGCTAACAGTTCGTAACCTGAAAGTTCATTTAAACTGTATGCAGCAAGTCTTTAACCTGTAAGTACATCAGTTTTTTGAAAGCATCAGGGCCTGTATGTCTCCCTCACCATCCCTGCTCCCTCCTCATCTATGTGGTCCTCTTTCAACCCAGTGTCAATACAGGACATCACAGAATTCACTTGAAACTGTCTTTTAGCCCTCATGATGTCCTCCCCACATCTTTCTTCAAGAATATTTTTAACTGTAACAACTCAGTGTGGTAAAGCTGATATTCTTCTCTTTGTTCTGGCTTTGTACCCCAATTCTTCAAACCAGCTGTTGTCTGTCCTCTGCTTTAAAAAAATCCTCTTTTGGACTCTTCTCTGCCTGAAATTTAGAGACCTATCTCCAAACTACCATTTTTATCAAATTACCATGTAAAAAATTATACACGGGATATGTTCACTCTCGGCTTCTGTACATATCCCATATGTACCCAGTACCCACCTTTATTGCTACCTTGATTTAAACACAAAGATGCCAATAAAACAGCAAAAGAAGCTGGTGGAAAACTGGGATTTAAGGTCCAGACAGGTTATAACACCATCTTGATGAAGATGTTTGTCTTCTTTCTGGTCAAAGGATAAAAACGTAGCACAGAATTTAAAGTTTTAAATAATCCTGTTTAGCATTTTTTTTCTCAAAGCTAAATAGATTAAAAAGTAATAATCTAAGGAAAAAAATGGGAAATATTTTACCACAATGTAAATTGTTGTCCAATAATTATTTATTAATCAAATGTAAAATTAGATTAGATTAAATAATTTATTTTGCTCCAACAGTTCTGTGGTTCCTGGTCTGCTTCTCTGTAGGTCATCCTCGGTTCTTCAACCAGCTGTTTGCAGGGATGGAGCCTTATTCCATGGTGGCAAGCTTCATCACRGAAGCAGTCAAAACCAGCATGTGAGTCATTCAACACTGTGTTTGATATACTGAACATAAAACCTGAGCTCTTCATCATGATGTGATGGGATGGTTTCCATCAGATACACGTATGAGGTGGCTCCGGTCTTCACTCTTGTGGAGGATGCGGTGCTGAGAAGGTTAATGGAGATGATTGGTTGGGAGGATGGAGGAGACGGACTCTTTAATCCAGGTTCTGTAGAGTCCCGTCGGCATCTCATATCATCGCTTTATCTCTTAACTTCTGATCAAGGTTTTTACCTTGATGTTCTAATGTTTTGGTGTGAATTTTCTCTTRCAGGTGGCTCCATGTCCAACATGTATGCAATAAATTTAGCCCGATACCTGTTCTGCCCGGATCTCAAAGAGGTTGGGCTTTATTCTGCTCCACGACTCATCATGTTAACATCTCAAGAGGTAAGACTTGACAGGAAAGCTTCAAACTTTAGGATAAAGACTGTGATAGTCAGGAACATCACAACTAGGACATCCAGATAATATTTATAGACAATGAACAAAAACCATAGTTCGCATTTTCTACTGATGTTCTTGGCTAGAAGCTTTGTTTGAATTCAAGTTTCAAGCTTCTGAATTTATTCTAGCTGATTTTTGGCC